AATTTCAAATTTCAGGCAAAAAGGTCACTTGGATGAATTTGATTTTGTGTGTAGGAAGTGTAGGAAGGACGACTGGAAAATCCCCGCTGGAATAATCGATTCCTCAAAGACCTTTTCAGACTGCGAAATGTATTCCGGGGGAGCCGAGAGGAGCTGACAACAAAGTCTCAAGGAATAAAATTAGCTTATGAAGCAGCTGCTGCGTAGCCTTGAACGAAAGTTGGTAGACAAAGGTATATTCTGCACCCAAAAGGTGTTGACGCAGATTGAAAAAACAAAAAACTCACAAGAAAAATCGGAAAAAGAATAACAATTTTAAATAAAGCAAAGTCAAGTCAAGATTCTGACGCACACGTATGCAAATTTGCCGACTCGCTCACTGGAAAAAATTCAGCACTGGTAATCTTATCCGTAGAACTCCACGAGTCTCTTTCGATGGCCACGATGCGAATGGCAAAAGCCAGTGAAAAGATTCACGGCAGAGCTTGGATCGCGATCTCTCTTTGGCTCTCTACACTTGAATCAATTCCTTAAAATTGTACAGATGACTTATTTGAGATTAGATATTATTCATAGACTATATATGAGGCTAAAGATTTAAATTATATTCAATTTAAAATTTTTAAGCTACACAGCAAAGAATCGAATGGGACCTTTTGAAATGTTTAAAAGATTATTTTAAAAAGAATTTTCAATGTTTAAAAATATGTATCTTTTAAAGCAAAGCATATATGTTATGTAATGTACTTTTAAAATGATCATTTAATATGATAGTTTGAATTTAAACTTTTTTGAATTTTTTGGTATCGCTACTCGAAGATCTTAGATTTCATTTAGTTGTACATCAAATTCAATCAAATGAAACGTAATTTTTCTCCGTGTGCTGGGGCTCTCAGTTTCTCAGCTTTCTCTCTTCTCTCCCACCACAAACAGTTAGAACAAAACTTGAAATTTCGCTGGCTTCGCGAGAGCTTTGGTGGAAGAATTCACAAATTGCAAATATTTCAATTCAAGGTTGTTGCTCTCTACGCCTGCGATAACTGGCAGGTCGGGTATTTCTTTTTTGTTAATTTTGTACTTCTTATTTCTTCAGCTTTGCCTGCTCGCGTCATGTTTCTGGCTAAAAGATTCCGACTGTGTTTCGCTTTCTATCCATATTGAATCTTTTCTAGGGGGGCTTTGAATATACTGAGGGTTACGTGATGATGTGGAGATCGATGAAATCAGAAAGTAATAGATGCATTTTTAAGGCGAAATATTTTTTTATATTTATAACAGGATTGGTTATAGTTGGTTATACATTTAAGAACATCAATCCTTGATCAGAATCAAAAAGGTTCTGGAAGTGTTCTATAATAATATAGTATTCTTTAATAAACCTCTCTCAAGGTCTCCCTTTGTTGCCCAGTTTACTTTTGACAAGTTTAACGTAATATCTTGGGGATCTTACATCCATACTTCGACAATGTAAACCCAACAATGTATTTTTGTTTGCCTATTTGCGCCTATGAGGCCGACATTCATTTCTCCGGATGGCTGGGCTGTTCAAATACAATCATGTGTTTGCGCTCTACAAAGTTCAATTAATATTTAATGACAGATTGAGAACGGGTTTCTGTTTCTATTGCTGTTGCTGTCAAACAAATCGATGGCATTTAACGGAAAGTCAATGGAGTAAGTCCGGACAGCGGACTTCGATTCCGATTCGAAAATTCCGGGCGTAGCGCAGGAAAAGATGAAGAAGAAGCAGCAGCAGCAGAAGAGAGCCAAAGCCAAAGAGAATCGGGCACAATAAAAACGCCGGTAAAGGTCATCAACCGGAAGAAAAGCGCCCGTGTGTGAGTGACTTGCCAGCGTAAGCGTCTGGGTGTTAGCGTACTGTGTGTGTGTGTGAAAGTCGAAGTTTTGCTGCCAATTATCATTATGGCCATCTATAAATAATTATGTATTATGGTCGAACAGCATGCAAAACACGCTGGCTGCTCGGCCTCGTTAAAACCAACTGACAAACTGGCATCGAACTGCACAGTTGGCCTAATTTTTCCGTTTTTCCTTCACAGAAAGATGTGCCGTTGTTTCGCCACCCCCCTTCCCAACCCTCCTTCACGGCGCCCTAGTGTTCAATTAGCTGCCTGCCCGCCGCGCACTCACACACTCACACTCGCTGGCACATGGAATTTCTCTCCTGTCGGTGAACACCGGTCAGAGATGAGAAATTGGACATTTTTCTTCTGCTATGTGGTACATACATATGTATGTATGAAGATGTAGGTCAAGTATACGCCCTGTGTAAGTGACTTGTTTAACGTGTATGCCTGCTCACTTAAGCCAACTGAACATTAAAATAACAAGTTTTTAAAATATCATACGAAAATTTATAACCCACCTCTAGGATTCTAAAAAGAAATATTTTCTAAAACTTACAATCACAAGGATTTAAAAAAAAATAGTTCCAAAAATATAACGAGTTTACACTTAGAGCCCAATAAACGAAATCTGATTGGAATAAGGCACAACTAAAGATTTTTCAAGATTTTTTTAGTTTGTCTACACTAAAATATTCATCAATTTTGTTTTCAGCACAATTTTCATTCAATCAATAAAGTTTTTTGGGAATTTAAAATCTGAATTTTTGTACAAATTTTTTGAGGCAACTTTTTTTTTGGGGGAAAAAAATTCATTTAATCAATGGCAACTTTGGTAAATTTTAAAAACTAGACTTTTTATAGCTTCCTTTGGGGAAGCATCACTGATAACGGTGCAAGTGCTTTTCTCGCCCTTTTTTTGCCGCCGACAGCGAGAGCGTACTCGCACTCATTCATTATTTTTCCTTTATTTATTCATAAATGCATTTCTTTTGCTCTGCTATTTTCAGCGGCTCAAGAGTTTTAATTTTAGAAAGCTATGCTCCCTATTTTTCGTTTTTCCCCTCTGTAATATTTATGCAACATGCAATGCCGTCTTATTTTTCTCTGTGCGAAAGAGAGCGTGGCATGTTGTTTTTTTCTCTCTGTTTCTTTTGTTTTTGTGTTCCTATTCTGGCTGCGTGGGAGCGTCAAGTTCCAAGTTCGTTTTCCCCCAAGATATTTGGTCCACAGATGGAAGGTTGTGCTAAAAAATGGAGTGACGCATAAAGACTATAAATAGGCAAATTGATAATTTTTGTCTAAGGCTTGACTGACGGTTAATGGTTATTGATTGCTGACGTCGACAGCGATGGCATTTCTTGATTACCAATTGGTTTTCCCCGATGACGAACGTTTTTAAGTCAATGATTTATTGGTCGACTGCAAGCCGCTCTCTTTTGCCTCTCCCCGCTCTCTGTCTCTTTCAAGTTCTCTTTGCCTTTCCTTTGATAAGCCCGCATATGCTTATGTGTGTGTGGTGAGGTCAGCGCATCAATTATGCTCATTTCTTGACTTTTTCTTTGATTAAATCGGACAAATATGAAGGGGAGGACGGGAGGGGGTGTAGGCCAGACGGCGGCGGCCGAGATTTTTTGGCAAATCAAACCAGTCAGCTGTCCCTTTTGCTCATAATTAAGCAATGAGAAAACAGTGAAAGTATGTCGGCCGCTAATTGGCAGCTTGAATAATTGCACACCGATAAATAAAATAGTGGCTTCCTTTTTCCTCTCAAGACAAAAGGGCGTCGCACTGCACTTACGCACACACTCACACACACACCGCTCTCCCTTTCTTTATCGCCCCCTCTCTATCACCATCCCTCTCTAACGGTTTTTCTGCCGATTTCCAGCCACTTGCAACGTCAACAATTTTCACAACATTTCACATTTACAATGCAGTCTTTCTTTTTCCTTTTCCTTTTTCTTTTCTTTTTTTTTTAGTTGGAAACGCATCCGCCATTTGCAAGCCACTTGTGTATGTGTGTGCCGGAGCGTTGTGTGTGTGGGTGTGCGGCGTTGTCGCATCGACCGTACTTTTTCACTATTTCTGGACTTAAAGGCGCTTTTAATAATGTATTTCTTACTTGCAACTATCCTACTTTTCTTCAACTTTTTTTAGCCGTTCGGCTGCGGACTTACACTTTTTTCGGGAACAAAATTGAAACTAGGGATGTGAAAAATATATCATAAGCTCTATATCGATATTTTTGAATAAAATATCGCATATCGGTTGCTGTTATTCGATTTGTGAGCATATTCGATACCGATAGCTACTCGATATTAGCAGACGCTATAAGTCCTATTCGATTGTTAAGTTAATCCGTCAACAGCCCGACCTATATATATATTAAATATATATTTTATAGTGCTGGGGTGGACAAGTGCCGATGCCAGGAATCATCTATGTTTCTATTTTATTGTTATTTATTCTTTATAAATTATTAGAGATAAGGGTTCAGTTGATGGTGTTTTTGGCAATGGTCATGGTTTTCCGGGATCTAAAATATATGTAATATAATTTTTATAGGCTCACCAAAATCAGTTTTGTACATATTATTGGTATTCCTATACTATCAACTTTAACAGAAAATTTTACCAAAATTACATACTTATATTGCATTACTTCCTATATTAAAAGTTACATATTGAAGTGTAGAAATAGCTTTTAACTCATGACAAAGCCCGCCATATTTGAGGCCTAAACTGCTTTACCGACTTGCTTCCCAAGTTCCGCACCATCGATATTTTAGGGTGTCTTATTAATACTAAAATTTTGGTTTTGGGATTTTGAAAAACTTGAAAAACGATATGGCAACACCCGCAGCGCCACCTCACATTTGAACACCCTGCGACAACAGCTGCATTCGTTTTTTAGCCAAGAAATTTACTCTGTTTAATTTGATTAAACTTACTTTTTGGTTGTATTCCTTAATAAAAGGCCAGAGGCCACTATTTAATTAGAGGTCATTGTTTAAAAAATAGCGATAAGTATTTATTTTAATTCAAATAATATCGATATATCGATATTCTGATATATATGAACGAGCGTCGACATCAGCTGTTTGCGTTGTTTGGCCAAGAATTCCAATTGGGGGTTCAGTTACTCAACGAGCGTCCAATAAGAAACAGTGAGAGAGCTCCGCTGAAAGTGCATACAGTAAATACTATATTTAACGATTTCGAATTGCTTCGCGGCGTGGGCGTCTTCTTGCTCAACTCGTCCCCCTCGCGTCTCGTATCTTGCGTCTCGCTCTAACAACGCCGGCAGTTGCACTTAGTGTGAGTGTGTGTGTGTGTGAGTGCGAGTGTGTCGGTGTGAGTGCGTGCGTGTCTGTTTGTGGTTTTCTGAAAGAATGTGAGAAATCATAATAAAGTCGCGTCGCGAGTTTTTGCTGCCAATACGGCATATAATTAGCCAATATTTATCACACATGTGTGTGTTTCAAGCTTATTTGTGTGTGAACAAAGTCAAGGATCCCGCTTTGGCCGAAAGAAATGCAATCCTGATGGCAGGATCAAGGTAAAATGGAAACATTTGGGATCTACTATATGAATGAACCAAAGTTGAAGAAGAAGCAGCAGCAGAAGCAGCAACAACCAAACGGCAGCTAGGAGAGCGAAAGAGAGCGAAGGCAAACAAACGAAAATACAAAAAAAAAAAGTTAAAAAAAGGGAAAACAACAACAAAAGGTAAGTGCGTGTGTGTGTGTGTGTGGTGGCCGCACCTACCAATAAGAAAATTAGTTATGTGTGGGTGCCTGTTACACTTTTTGTGCTTGTTTCTTTTTGGCAATAACTATTATTATTATTTAAGTAGCACGAACGCGGGAATTACATAATTTCGGTGTCTCTTTTGTGGCTCCCGAAGAAAAGCGAAAGTATTCTTATTGGATGGCCATGTGTGCGTGTGTATTTTATTTTGTTTATTTATGAATGGCGATTATGAGACTTGATAATTAATTGCCAGCATAAGCTGTGATTTGATTTTTGTGCCTTAACCAGTTGCGCGACCGGCTGTCTCTTTCGCACCCACATTTGGTCGTAAATCAAATAAGAAATTAACGCCACAAACAAAAAAAGAGCAAAACACCAAAGAGACGAAGCGATGAACTCCCTCGCTCTGATCAGAATTTGCAGCTGCGCCAGGCGATCATTTCGCATTCGTATTTTTTTCGCCCGAGCCATTTTTAATGCGAAAATCTTGCGGGCGAAAATTGGCCGCCGCAGTTGGCCAAAAGCATAAACAACAAATTTTTATGGGACGCCGGCGGCGGCACATGTACACGGAAAGAAAATGCATGTACTGCGATCAGATGATCATTTAAAAGGTTTAGAAATTTAATAGTGATGGATCAGTGGTATTTTAAATGATTTTATAAAGTGAAAGATGATATATGCATGATATTTTTCCTTGAATTTGTAATCAATTTAATAATTGATAGATAATGAAAAACATTAATATGTATGTGAATTTTTTTCTGTGTAGCAAATTCGCCCACGATCCGATATCTCCTCTCTTTCCCTCGAAGGCTCTCTTTCTCTCGCAATCGTTGCCAAATTTTATTTAACGCCCTCTCTTTTTGTACACTGCAATGATCCGTTAACTGGTTCGTGTCTGATTGGAATTTATGTGATACTGTTATACAGTTCAGAGTTGTTAAGGTGAACCAAAAAAACTACTGTACCTAAATTATGTGCATATTCGGCACAATACTTAATTATTTTAAGTAAACCATTTAAAGTCGGGTTAAATCTTATGCAAATCCAATTTTTATAAAAACCTTTACAAAAAGTATAATAAATTAAATGTATTGATAGCATATATACATATGTAAATATATTTTTAATTTATTTAAAATAATATCAAAGTGACAAAGAAATGTTTAAAAATAATTTTGATTTATGGAGTTCATAATTATCACCCTGTAAACACCACAATATTTTATTTCCGCTGCGTCTTATTTCAAAAAATATTTTCGCCAGGCCAAAAAGGCCAACACTCACACACACAAGGCAAAATACGGCAGAAAAACGACTTGAGCGTGGCGGCGTTGACGTTAATGAACTACAACAACAATTATGTACAACGATTTGTACACGGCAGCAACAAACAGCGAATATCACAACAACTACACACATTTCACCGCAGTTCCTTTGTTGTTTTTGCGCTTTTGCTTATGGTTATGAATTTTTATTTACTTATTTTTTTCCTGAAACGGCCATAAGGCGAATTTATGCTTGTCCATTTGCTTGCAATTAGTTTCATGAAGTCAACTGCGCGCTAAAATATATGTAGTTGTATTTGCCGCTGTTGTTGTACTCTTAGTTTTTGTTGTTGTTGTTGCACGAGGTTTATTGTTGCTCTCCAAGTTTTTCCTTTACTACGCTAAGCTACTTAACGTCACAGCCGCCGCTCGTAGTTATTTATTGTCCGTTGCGTCGACATTTTTGCATTGCACTGCAAAGACCAAAGGTACGGTAGAATCTCTGTAAAGAGGACCTACTAAGGAAAAAAAAAACCCTCAAGGACATTCTAAGTTTCGGCTTGCAGGGCTTCGAACATCTTCCAATTCTTTTCTATGTAGGTTTTTTAAGACGAATTTTTTTGAATAAGTTTAAGTTTAAAATGTTTGAAGTAAATTAAAAAATAATCAAATTAATCATCAATAAAATATTAAAAATATATCTTTATATTTTTCATTCATCTTTATAAATAAAAGTGCATAAGTAAAAATCTATTTAGGTACAATTTTTTATTTTGATCGATGTCATTCATAAAAATTTCCCTTTTACTGAAAATAAAAAAAAACTGTAATGGTTAAAAACTTTATTTTTATTAAGCTTCTTAGTTGGTATTAAATGCTCTGTAGTTTTTAAACCACTTAAAAAAGTGTCAGAAAGTATATAAAATTCTTTTATTGTAGCATACTTTCCGGCGATCCTTTAAGTGGTCTTAAACCTCTTAGTTTAAAAATGTTGCCAAAAGTCAGCTTTCTAGAAGTTTCTCTGTATTTTCCATTTCTGCTTTATGCTTTGGTGTAATTGTTTGCCCTTCGCAAGGTTGTTCCCACTGTGCGTGGGCGGGCGGGGGGAGGGGGGTGTGGCACGGCGCAGTGGAGGTGGTTCTTGAATTGTGGCAGTGGCAGCGGCAGTGGTTTTCTAAAAAACATTTTGTTGGGCTGCCAAACAAAAGCAACAGCTGCGTTCTGCTTTGGCCGCTCTGCTTTTGGGCCTTTGTGAATGTGCAGCAAACAGCCTTGTAAGCGCCACCCACACAAAGAGGCGGACCACACAAAAAATTGTATGGTCACCAACACACACACACACAAACAGAAGCTGCGGCATCTGCAGCGTGTAGTTGTGGTAGCTGTACGATTGTGCTTGTGTGTGTGGGGCAACTATGACGTGAGCAGCAGCTGTCAAAGCCGCCCACGCCTCAAGTCGCGCTTAAAAGCGTCATGTGCTCAGCTGAGCGCGTCTAGCTGGCTCTCTCCCTCTCTCTCTTTCAGTCTTTCTTCTCTTACCCCCCTCTCTTCAGCTCTTTCAGTCTTAAGCTTTGTGCACGTGTGCGTTATTCTTCGCTTGAGATTCTCTTTTTATTCCAGCTTTCCAGCCTTAAAACTGTGAATGTAAGCACAGCATGAAATTTCTTTTGACGTAGCACTCCCTAAACCAAATTTATTTTACTTGAGCTTTCTCAGGGGAAACATCCCTGATTAAAACATCCCTCAATAAGTTATTTCTTAAGCCTGAAACTCTGCGAATCTCAAGGCTAAATGCTTTTTGCACCATTGATATTGGACATTACCCCATCAATTTTATAAACAACCCCATTTCTTATAATGCTCAATCGAGTACCAGAGAAATCTCTAGAGTTTTAAAATCACCAAACAGGGAGTCCTAAAGTATGATATGAAAAATAAAGAGTCTTCCTTCGTCACTTGTTAAGGGGACTTTCGGGTTCAAAATATATTATAGCATAATGGTTGATAAGGGCGTCACAAAAATCCCTTGAGATTAAAAAAAACATAAAATAAAATATTATTCAGTAAAAAATTGTTTAAATATGAGAGATATTAACATGAGTGAAATTAGCTGCACAAAACAAACTATTTTGATAATGAAATCTTTAAAAAGTTGTTATCAAAATTGGTAACTTTAGGGAAATAATAAAGCGTGTTAACTTTATTTGACTTTAAACACTTTGTAAGAAGACTAAGGAATAGCTCCCATCTAAATTTAAGGAAATGTGGTTGCAAACTGTTGCTCAGCTTCAATTAAAACGGCATAAAGGAAACATTTTACCTTCCGACCAACAATTTCATTCAACTTGAATTTTTTACCAAATTCATTTAGGAACATATTCGTATGTGTGTGTGTAGGTTCTCTGTCTCACAGAATTTCTACCGTATTTGCATTCGTATTCGTTTCATTGCACTTTGGGTCTTCGGTTCGGGCCACATACATATGTACTTACTACACCACAACAATGAGCCATGGCATAATAAACTTTGCCATTTGTGCCTCATCTTGCTCCTCTTCTTGGCCAGTTTGCCCTGGGTCTTCTTCTTTTTGGTTTTTTCTAACCTTGTGCCAATAAAATTGAAAGAAAAAACAAACCCAAGATGTGCACCGCACACAAAATGAAAAACTTGAAATGTTTCTAACACAATTTTCTACTTGCCTTGCCATTGTTTGCCGAAAGTGTGGGCGAGTTGAGGAAAGTGGGAATATATGGGGGAAAATTGAGTGTGTCGAGCGGCACTTAATTTCTTTGCTAGTTATTTTGGCTAGACAACTCGGTTACGCCTCGGTTGCACCGCTAGATGGCGCCATCGTCAGCGCCCGCAGCACGTTCCCAATTAATCTCTCATTTTATTTTATCTACGGGTATCTAACTATCAGTTGATCAACACCTTCAATTCGAGAGTGTGAGTGGGCCGCGCCAGGTGAGTGGGCCCGTTAAAAGCGCCCCGGTGACTCAACCCAAACGCTCTGCTCTTTTCATTCTCTGCGCACACTGAAAGCCTACGGGTGATCAGCACCGAATGCACTGTGGCAAAATAAGGTGGTCTTATCATCCATAACCTCTTTTAATATTATTAGAGTAGCCATGTTAAGAATATTTCATAACACTAATAGTGAGAAGAAGAATGGTTTCTTCTTGAAAAATAATAACATTTCTAAAACCATCTTATAAAATAAAATATATCTTATAACCTAAAATATTCTTCAAAAATTATAGAGTACCCATGTTAAGAATATTCCATATCAATAATAGTGAGTTTTAATTATAATGATATTGATATACTAAGTTGTATAAAAACGAGAAGGAATTAAGAATGGTTTCTTCTTAAAAGTAAAAGCATTTCTAAACCATTTTATAAAAAAGTAAAATATATCTTCTTTTTTTAAGTACCTGATCCGTATGCTATCAAATGATACGATAAACTCTCAAAACTCTTCTTTACATTTCATTATTTAACTATGTGTCTAAAGCTTAAGAAGATAAATACCACGAATCTATCCTTAAGTATAATGTGTATCCTGTATGGATATGGATATGGTTTTGAAGTTATTATTAAGATAAAGTTAGAAGACCATGTCACTTTTCATTTTACCATGGATTTAAGTTTGGTTAATAGAACTTGAAAACTTTCTGGAGAAAGTTCTTAAAGAAAGTTTCACTG